CCGGGGGGGGCCACCCCCCGCACCAGCAGCGTCCGCCCGCTCATGGTCCCGATCCGGCTCAGCGCATGTGCGGGCCGCTGGGCGCCGCCATCTTGCCGCGTCCGTGCGCCAAACGGGTCCGACCGGAAACGCCCCCCTCGCCCGCGTCCGTCGGCCAAACGGGTCCGACCGGAAACGCCGCCATCTTTGGCGTTCTGTGTCTAAATAGGTTCGGCAGGAAACGCCACCATCTTGCCGCGTCCTACACCCAAATGGGTCCGGCCGGAAACGCCGCCATCTTCCCCGCGTCCGTCGCCGAAATGCGTCCGGCCGGAAACGCCGCGTGGGCGAAAAGGTTCCGGGAAACCCCTCTATTGCCCCCTGGGTCTTAGCGCCCTCCTGGTGCCCCTTGCCCTGGGCAGCGTCCACCCGCCGCAGTGGGGCGGCAGGGAGGTGCGGGGTCACATCCATCCAGGATCAGCCCCGTCCAAAGCAACCCAGACAAACCCGTGTGCAACCTCGGAGCCGCACAACACAGTCACCTCTGACACAGCCCCCACCCTGCCCCCTGGATGCAGGGGGGGCCGCATCCTGCCGCCCTAAAGGGTGCAAACATAGTGTCCAGAGACCCTAAGCCAAGGCCGTGCCCCCGCTACAGAGGAAGGCAAGGACCTTCCTATGATCTACTTGATTCCTGCTAATCTCTCCACCCCACGGGTGTTAACTATCTGTCCTTTGTGGATGGTATTGCTGCTCCGCTATTGAAACGATCCTTTCTTCGGCGATGTGGCTGTCCGTTCGCCTCCCCGGGCCACCGTCTCTTCTTCACCTCGACCCTGCCGGCTCCGTCTGGCTCTGGCGCGGCCACGTGAACGCGGGCGTGTAAACGACAACGCGGTATTGGAAGCGCTGCCAAGGCACTCAAGAAACCGCGAGGTTGCTTTATGAACGCCCACGAGAGACGTCTGTTTAACGGTGAAGACCACAGGCCGGCTGACGAAGCGACGTCCCTTTTTCCTCTTTTCCTTCGGGTTTTGAGCTGGATCGTTGATGTAGCAACGCGGTGGACATCCCGATGAAGCCCCGTTTGCTTTTGCTTTGGTCCTAAGCCAACGCAACCCCGCCGGAGCATATTGGGAAAGTTTCTAGTTTCTCGCTAGCTGGAGACAAACGTGTCTCATGTTCGATGTGATGATGCCACACCGTCTGCCCCCCGCTTTTCAACACCCTAGCCCCCCTGCCCGTGGCTGGCGGGGTTCAGGGACCACTGCAGGGGGCGGCAGGCAGGGCCCTTTCCGGGGCAGGGGGTTGTGGCTGGCAGGGAACGAGCCCGAATCCATGTCGGGGGGGGTCACCAGGCTGGCTCCTGCCACGGTTATTCAGCCCAGTGCATCTGGAGGGGAGGGAGCACCTGTCTGGGGGCACCAGGGATCCAGCAAGCTGGGCTCCTTGTATGCCGCCGCTCCAGGCCCAGCCAGGAGGATTCATTCCACCCCCCACCTGGCCAAACCCACCCCCAGCACGCGTGCGTGAGCTGGGGCATGTGCTCTGCCCTCCCACTCCCCCTGCCCCCACCCCAGCTCCTCTGCTTCAGGCTGGGGCTTTCTGAACTGACACACCTCCCTGGGCTCCTCTTACCCAGCTCACCTGCACATTAGATCCTGCTCCCAGATGCCTTATGTGGACTTCTTGACTGCCCTGTAGGGCAGGATTACCCTCCAGCCATTCATGTATGGACATGCCATAAAGAACCACCCTGTAACACCCATTTGTAAAAACTGGAAAGGTTTTGGTTAGGGCTTTGCACTCACTGGAGATCCCTTGTGCTTCCCCAGCCATGTGCTGCTGCTGAGCCTCTGCCTATAACAGCTGCCCCCTGGTGCAGGGAAGGGGGTGGTGCCACCCGGATGGAGCTGCTGGCTGGGATGGGGAGAGGCCATAGCAGGGCCTCTACCAAGACAGGGAGAGCAGGGGCAGTGGGAGTGAGGCTGGGTGGGGGGAGGGGGGGTGCAGTAGGATGTGGGGTGCAGTCACAGGTGTCAGGGTGTGGGGTGAGTAGGGGAGCCAGGGTTGGGGGCCCGCACAGTGTACAACCGGTGCTGCATGCACTCAGGGCTGCTGGCCCCAGAGGGTTTTTTTAGTGATGATGTCAGTAAAAACATTTCTCTGTCAGTAAAAGAGTGTGAAGATTGGCAGTAAAAATAAAACCAAGGGCTTTCGCTGGCAGCTGTAGGAGGGAGGTGGAAGTTGGAGGGGGAGAGTCGGGGGGCTGATCTGGAGCTGTTGTGTTGGCTCTGGGTGTGTGAGCGTAAGCTGGGGGTTGCAAAGTGGGGGGGGGTGTATATATGTGTGTGAGTGAGGGTGATCTCTGCCTGTGTGTGTGTGGGTGGGTCTCATCTGGCCATGTGTGTATGTATACACCTACGTGCCAGATCTGAGCTTGCATGTGTCTGTGTGTACAGAAAGCTGCCAGGACCCCCCTCTACCCCCCAGCCCTCACTCCCCTGCCAGAGCAAGGCGAGAACCCCGGCATCCGGGCTTCCTGCCCAGGACCCCACATGCATCCATCTGCCCCACGCCCTGTCCTTGGTTCAATGCACTTTATTTTAGCATCTCCCCTCCACGCACTTCCCCGTCA